AGGCATTAGAGTTACACACTCCCAAACTGATCTAATCTTAAATACTATTTACCCATGATAAAAAGAATCTATAAAAAACTTAGAGCTAGTATCATATTTATTTATTTGTTTAATAGGAGAAGCACATAAGGATAGTATCATATTCACTGGTAAAACACTGGTGAATACTTTCTTCTAAGAACAAAGCAAGTTTCTCATTGCTCTTATTTAACATCATCCTGGAGGTCCTAGCTGATGTGATATGGCAAGAAAAATAAGAGATCTAGAGAGTAAAAGGGAAGAAATAAAACTCTCTTTTCTCAGATGACATGATTGTCTAAACAGAAAATCCCAAGGAATCTGCAAAAAAGCTTCCAGAACTAATAAGTAAATTTAGCAAGGGTACAGGATATAATGTCAATATATAAAAATCAATTGAATTTCTATATCCTAGAAACAAAAATAAAACAAAATTTAAAAATTGCAATTATTTATTTATTTATATAAACAAAGTGGAACATTTTAATTGAACTTTCTTAAAACTAATGGATCAAGTAGCAAAGCAGTAAGGCTACAGAAGTTCAAACAATATAATTAAGGAGCTTGAGCTACTAGATAAACATAAATTTTACTCCCTCACCCACAGAATACCCATTGTTTTCAAGTTCATGTAGAACAATTTTTTGAAATGCTGCATACTTGGCAATAAAGGGAGTCTAAAATTTGCTCAAGGAATCAGTATCAATCAGTTGCATGGAATTATTTAGAAGAGCACCAAAAAACAGGAAATACATAAAAATCTAATAATATATGTGTAAGATCTCTATATAAAACACTGATGAAAGAAATAAAAGAACACCTAAATAAATGGAAAGATATACTGTTTTCATGGACTATTAAGACATCAATTCTTCCCAATTTTTTTTATTATATATAATTTTATATATATAAAATATATATAAATTTTACATATATAAATAATTTTATATATATATTTTTTGAGACAGAGTCTTGCTCTGTTGCCCAGATTGGTGTACAGTGGTGTGACCTCAGCTCACTGCAACCTCCCTCTCCCGGGTTCAAGCAATTCTCCTGCCTCAGTCTCCTAAGTAGCTGGGATTACAGGCACCTGCCACCACGCCTGGTTAATTTTTATGTTTTTAGTAGAGATGGGGTTTCACTGTGTTGGCCAGGCTGCTCTCGAACTCCTGATTTCAAATGATCCGCCTGCCTTGGCCTCCCCAAGTGCTGGGATTGCAGGCATGAGCCACTGCGCCCGGCTCCCAATTTGATTTACAGAATCACTGCAATCCCAGTCAAAATCTCAGCAGGAATGTTATAGATATTGACATACTGATTCTAAAATTTATTTAAAAAAGGAAAAAGAATTAGACAGCTAACACAATACTTGAAAAAAAAAAAAGAACAAAGCTGGAAGATAGATTCATATCACCTAGTTTTAAGACTAACTATAAATCTACTATAATAAGGTAGTGTGGTATTGATGAAAGAATAAACATTGATCTATGGAAAGACTAGAGTCTAGAAAGAGATTCACACAAATATAATTGATTTTTTAAAGTAGTTTTAAGTGACAATAATTATATGTATTTATGGAGTACAATATGATGTTTTGATATATGTATACATTGTGAAATGGTTAAATCAAGCTAATTAACTATCTGTCACCTCACCTAATTTTTTTTTTTTGCAATGAGAACATTTAAAGTCTACTCTTTTAGCAATTTTTAAATATACATTATTATTATTATTATTTTGAGATGGAGTCTCGCTCTATCACCTAGGCTGGAGTGCAGTGGTGCGATCTTGGCTCACTGCAACTTCCACCTCCCCGGGTACAAGCGATTCTCCTGCCTCAGCCTCCTGAGTAGCTGGGACTATAGGCATATGGCACCAAGCCTGGCTAATTTGTGTACAATATATTATTATTAACTATAGTCACCATGTGGTGCAATAGCTCACTAAAGCTTATTTCTCCTAACTTTGAAACTTTGCATCCTTTGATGGTCAGTTGATTTTTTCTTTTTCTTTTTTTTAAGCCTCTCCTTATCCAAACCCATTTGTTTTTCTTTTTTTTGGCGATTGATTTTTGACCAAAGCATAAAGACAGCTGAAGAAAGGATACTCTTTTCAACAAAAGGTGCTGGAATAATTGGACATCTTGTTGCAAAATAAAAAAAAGAACCTGCTCCATCCTTCGTACCTTATACAGAAATGAACTCAAAATAGATCATAGATCTAAATTTAAAATGTAAAATTATAAAACTTCTAGAAGAAAATATAGGAGAAAAATTTTTGTGGCCCTATGTTAAGAAAAAGTTCTTGGGGTATGACCCCAAAAGCATGATCTATAAAAGAAAAACACTGACAAATTGGACTTCATAAAAATTAAAAACTTTTGTTCTAAGAAAGATATTGTTTAGTAAATCAAAAGATAAGCTAAAGATTTGCAGAAAATATCTGTAAATCATATGCTCAACAAAGGACTTACATACAGAATACATAAAGAACCCTAAAATTCAACAATAAGGAAAGCAACAACTCAAATGAAAATGAACAAAAGCTTTGAACTCATTTCACCAAAGAAATATAAGGATGGTGAATATGCACACGAAAAGGTGCTCAACATCATTAGTCACTAGGGAAATAGAAATGAAAACCACTATGATATACAACTATACACCTATTAGAATGGCTAAAATAAATGAACAGATAATAGTAAGTACTGGTTAGTATGTGGAGCAATTGATTATATACTGCTGCTGGGACTTCAAAATGGTATAGCTATTTTAGAAAAGAGTTTGAGAACCTCTTTGAAAGTTAATTATACACTTGTCACAAGGCCCAACAATCCTATTCCTAAGTATTCACTCAAGAAAAATGAAAGCTTATATGCATACAAAAACCTGTAAAGAAATGTTTTTAGTAGCTTTATTTATAATTGACAAAAAAGGAAACAACCTAAATGTCTTTCTTTTTTTTATTATTATACTTTAAGTTCTAGGGTACATGTGCAGAATGTGCAGGTTTGTTACATATGTATACATGTGTCATGTTGGTGTGCTGCACTCATTAACTTGTCATTTACATTAGCTGTATGTCCTAATGCTACCCCTCCCCCTTTCCCCCACCCCATGACAGGCCTCGGTGTGTGATGTTCCCCACCCTGTGTCCAAGTGTTCTCATTGTTCAATTCCCACCTGTGAGTGAGAACATACGGTGTTTGGTTTTTTGTCCTTGTGATAGTTTGCTGAGAATGATGGTTTCCAGCTTTATCCATGTCCCTATAAAGGACATGAACTCATCCTTTTTTATGGCTGCATAGTATTCCATGGTGTATATGTGCCACATTTTCTTAATCCAGTCTATCATTGATGAACATTTGGGTTGGTTCCAAGTCTTTGCTATTGTGTATAGTGCCGCCATAAACATACGTGTGCATGTGTCTCTATAGCAGCATGATTTATAATCCTTTGGGTATATACTCAGGAATGGGATGGCTGGGTCAAATGGTACTTCTAGTTCTAGATCCTTGAGGAATTGCCACACTGTTTTCCACAATGGTTGAACTAGTTTACAGTCCCACCAACAGTGTAAAAGTGTTCCTATTTCTCCACATCCTCTCCAGCACCTGTTGTTTCCTGACTTTTTAATGATCACCATTCTAACTGGTGTGAGATGGTGTCTCATTGTAGTTTTGATGTGCCATCTCACACCAGTTATAACGGCGATTATTAAGAAGTCTAAATGTCTTTCAAATGGTGAATGAATGAACTAAATACTTCTCAGCATAGAAAAACTACTGATACATGCAGTAACATGGATGAATTTCTCAAAGCATTATGCTAAGTGAAAGGGGCCAGTCTCAAAAAGGTGCACTTTGTTTGATTCCATTTATATGACATTCTAGAAAAGGCACAACTATAGTGATGAAGAACAGACCTATGGTTGCATTTGTTAAGTATAGGGGAAGGGTTTGACTACAAATAGACAGCAAGATCGAATTTTTAAGTATTCAAAAACTCTTGATTAAAGTGGTGGTTATACGAGTATGCATTTGCCAAAACACATACAACGTAAATCAGAAAGAATACACTTTACTCTATGTAAATTTAAAAATAAATAAATATTTAAAAATTACTGCTTCCCTGGTCTACTTCTCACTGTTACAGTCACCTATTCTAAGACCACTGGTTCATCCTAGAATCACAGGCTCAGAAGGAGCTTAGTGGGGAACTGGTACAATTCCCAAGCCAATACAGAAAATTCCCCTAGAGGTGTCCTGGGAGCTTCTGCTTGAAGATCATCTGCTAAGAGAGAAAATCTCTATCTCCCAAAGCAGGCCTGCTTACAGTGGACAATTTTTGTTGTTAGCAAGTTATTTGTTTTATTAGCTAAAATTGGCTTCCTCACCAATAGCCCCTATTGGTCCTGGTACTATGCCCTAGAACTACAGATATAAAAGCAGGGGCCATGTCCTCCACCTTAGTGATGGCAAAAGAACTACACAGAGGACAGCCTGAAGCCACTCAGTTGAAAACCAAGGGGCCTGTATCTCCTGGACCAACCTCTCTGTGCAGTAGTCTGTAAAATGCTGGGCTACCCTGAGCCATGAGAACTCAACTGGTCTGGGCTACTGCCCTAGAAATGCCTGGACTATACAGTGAAAATCCTCTGTAAAGGAATGACATCACAGACTCCCAGGGCCCTATCCTGAATGAAACTGGGAGGCTACAGTCTCAATCATTCTCTCCTTGATCAGAAAGTTATAGTGATGTTCATTCTTTGCTGGCCTCATTATTTTCTGGCCTCTAACTTCATGAAGAAAATCCACAAATCAATTATGGCTAGCAAGTAAGGGAAAACCCTTGAACAGGATTCAAATTAGCCAAGCTACAGCCCATTCCCACTAGAATCATGGCTTGGTCATCTAGGCCACCTGCCTAAGCAGAAGGGATCCATTCCAGAGAATACCCTGAACACTGTGCCAGGTTTCTTACCTGTTTGAAGTTGCCATTTTTTCTCTGCTCCCAGTCCATCATGTCATGAAAGATGGGAATCATGATATTCCGTACTTCTGGCTGTGGGACCAGCGTCACACCCAGAAAAGGACCAATCATTCCCGGAATAAAGTGGATCTTATGTTCACCTGAAAAACAAAACCCAAATTAGTTTATGCCTGCTTTGCTCCTTTCATGGAAGATTCCCAAATGGGGCCACAACACATGCTATAATCTATATTGGAAGCTTCCAAGAGCAAAGCAAGCTCTCCCCTATGGTTTTCTGAGATACTCCCCCTCAATTTTTTAGAGTTTATGGATAAAGTTGGCCTAGCCCAGTTAAAGTAAATGTGCAACAGTCACAAAACTGCTTTTCCAAAGAACTTCCTGACAGGTCCCACAAACTACCTGAAAATCTCTCTGAGATGAAGGAACAGAGTTTGCTACTCTAGACAGAACAGGTTTCTGAGTAACCTATGAGTGTCAGATGGTCTATTCACAGTGTTTATTTAACAGGAAAAGCCTATATATTTCTGCTTAAATACAATGCACTCCCCTTGGAGTTTCTAGCTGTAGCCCAGAGACATTTAAGTGATGAGGATATCCAGTCCCTGGTCTAGCCACCAGAGGCCTAATAAGTCCATGGACCCTTACACCGCCTATGTTCATCTATGCCAAAGAAGTCCTCCTCCTGAGCTAGCAGGAGCCTCCTGTACAGCCCTACCCTAAAAGGCTGGCTTAGAGATTCTCTCTTTACCCATCCTGAACTCCCTTTGTGTTCATATTGCATTTCTGATGGTAACCATTACACCTACTTGGCTCAGCTCAACCCTCAACTTCCTTAATGAAGCATTTCCATAGTAAGTGCGTGATGTGGGTTTCCTTCTCACTGGCCTGCCATCTAGGGTATGTTACCAGAAGCCAGAGACAGTCCTGTGGATGGTGGGACAGGATTTTTCTCTTCCTTGCAATGGTAAAATGGAGTGAACCATTTTTCAGAGCTCTGCTCTCAGTCCTTCAGAGACTAAGGAGGAGATAAACCGTGGGTCTGTGCAATAAATGCTACAACCAAGTAAAACCATTTCTTGGGGACCAGAGAATGTCATTTCCACCAAAAGCAATGAGGCAGTAAAGGCTTTATCAGGCAAATATGGCATTAAAAAAATTTCCATTTTGAAAACCTGTCTAAGAAGCAAATGTTTAGCCCTGAAGCTGGTTCAGCATATTCCAATTTTGGTACATGGCACAGTAGCCAGTCTCTTGCATTCCTGGGAATTTCAGAGTCAACTTTGGGTTAAAATCCATTTCCAAACTGTGCTGGATACAGGGAACCAGAGTGCTGGAAAGTCATGCTTGGGGAAATGCATCCCCACTCATGAATAGAAGGCCCTCCCACTGGCAGAAATACCTCACATCTTGCTTGCTGCCTCTAGGTTTGTGGTGGGGATGGTTAACAGAGGACTGGAGATTTTATGACTATCATTCCTATAGCTTCAGAGCCATGAGCTCAGCTGAAAGCAAACTTTATTTGAAATAATAATAGTTATCTAGCATCTTGACAGGCCACTCAGAATTCTACAATATCACAGGATGGCCCACTCAGTCACCAGGGCAACCCAGAAATTCTACCAAAAACACTGATCTGACAAATTTAGATTCAAAGCAGTGGCTATTTTCAAAGCTTTCAAAGCAGAAGCTGTGCAAAGAAGGAAAGCCAAAGCTGATCTCACTCAGAGGTTGCAGTTCTCTTCTCATATATTACTCCATGCAATTGGTGTCAAGTATCTGATCTGGATGCATGAATACCAGAGATCCAAGAAATGTTTCAATCTTTATTAAAATCAACGGCCACCTCTGCTCATGTACTGGGTATCTCCGATCTAAGCTTTTGAGCCTGCAACATCCAGACTGGGAAGTGAAGAGTATGGAGGATCTTACAGGCATGGGTTCTCAAATTGGAAAAAAACTACTACAGCCCTCCTCTTCTTTTTCTTTCTTTTGACTTTAGTTCCTAAAAAAGGGGATTTTGCACATATATTACTGAGGTCTTATTTCTCAGCCAAACTCTCCTTGCCAAGGGCTTTATGCACATGTGCTACACCATCCATCTGAGGTGTTATGTGAAAGATATGTAAGGATCTCTTGGGTCTGAATTAACATTCATAAAGCCTGGGAGATGTTATTAGTCTTGCTACTTTCTATTTGGCTATGCAATATATAGAAGGGAAGAATAGAGATAAAAAACATACCCAAATTCTGCCACATGCTGAACAGTTCATAAGCCATCATTACACGCATGTCCCCATACCTAAGAATAGTAACACAGGAGCCAACCGTTAGTGGGAGAAGGTTCAGGAAGATAGGGCTGCAAACCCATGAGGCTAGTACTTCAGTACTGTTTGTTTCTAATGCTTCCCAATGCGCTAAGCCATTGGGCTCTCGACTGAACTCCCACACCTGGCCCCTGGGAAACCACCCAGCTGAGAACCTGTGAACCTCTGAAGGAACTCTCATGGAAACATAGCCCTATTTGGCCAAGTGGTAATGAGATGAATATAAGACGTTTATCTTACTTATCTAGAATCTTCTTCCTTTTGACTGAGGTGATAATTTCTAGCTGAAGGCTTGGCTGATTTATGAATAGAACTGCCAGGCTAAAATAAGAATTCCACACCTAGAGAGACAGAGAAAGAGAAAACGTGACAGTCTAAGAACTCAATCTTGTAGGGAGAGTTACTAAATACATACATGTAGCATAGAACCCATTTTATAATCTTAAGATCCTCATTTTTTTTCCCTTTTAAATATCTTTGTGAACAGGAATTTGTTCTTCTTCTTTCCCCTCTTGACTCCTTCTGAAGCCAATTGTGTTGATTCTGGACTAGAAAGCATACTCATGGAAGTCTGGCTACCAACACTTTCAACAGGTGTACCCCAGGTCATATTCTAATCATCATCAGGCTTAGAAGCTGTTTGATACTATGAATCTATTAATAAAGCAAAAACAAGTGAGCTTGGTTTTGGCTTTCTAAGGTTATTGCAATAATACTGATGGATTTCAGGAGTGCCTACCTTAAAGTCAAAGTCAGTCTCTGTGAAATTCTTGTGCAGTGCAGAGGACAGGTACTGGACAGTAGTGACTATAATACTGCAGTAGGGAAACAAGGCATTGGCAGAATTAAAAGACTAACAATGGCATCTGATGGCTTGGCATCAGCTGTCTATAGCCTGTGTGCAAGCTTCTTGGGTACAACTTGTTCCCATGTAAGATGTGACTATAAAGGAAAGAGAAAATGGTACAAACTCTATAGAAAAAATTCTACAGAAAACCAGTCTTGGATAAATGCCCCACAGTTGGCAGGACAGCACGGGACGTCACTGGGTTCTAGACCTAGTTCTGCCATTACCTGGCCTTCATACTTCTCTCTGGGTCTCATTTTCCCTACTTATAAAAGGTGGTAGGAGTTCGATGGTTCTTTAAAGTTTCTCTCAGTTCAGAGTAGTTCTAGTATTTTGGGGACCTCTGGGTAATCAACAGATATTATGATCACTTTGTAGGACTTAGAACATAATTTTATTATTATACTGGACAACAGGGGTTTATATAGGTAATAAATCTTTGCTTTAATCATATACTATTATTTTCATCTATGTGTCATTTGAATTCAGCTCTTTTGGTCTAGCTTGAGTAATCACTCTCAATCTTAGCCTGGGCACACAGAAGGGACAATGGGAGGCTGTCCTGCTGGAACAAGAGAGTGAAATGGAGAGGAAGTCTAGTGAGACAGTAGGTTTCATTTTCATTACATAGGGCCTTGGCTACCTGACAAAGAGACTTATGTCTAACAGTGGCCACCTCTGCTTAGATGCAGAAGAACATGACAAAAACAGTGCATTAGAAACACTAGTCCACCACTAGAGGGGGTGAAAAATTTAAAGGGTCACAGCTTTGAAAGAAAAACTGCTCTTGCAGGACAGGCTGGGGAGCCTGAAGTGCTCTGAATGGAGTTAAGAGATAGAAACAAGAAGGATTCAAATGGAAAAGTCACTATGTGAGGAAGTATCTGTGCAACTTTGTTTATAACCATCCTTCTATTCTTTATAAAACATTTGCATTTTGGAAAAAGTTACAGTGCGCTATAAAAGGTGTAAAGTGGAAAGACCATGCTAGTATCTTGTTAATATATAAAACAAATACTTTCATTATATTTTATATGTCAACATAAAAGGCAGATCAGTGGGAGGAGGCAATAGGCTAGAGTGTGTAGGCCAAGTAGCCTTCTTCTGAAGAGAGAGAGACCAGATGAGCCAGCCCCTTACCACATGCATCATTTGTCTGGTTTGCCAGGAGGAAACACAGGCTAGAAATATAAATGAGGTAGTCAGGTTAGGGTTATCTTTAGAGTAAATTCTATGTCAGTAATCAGAAGTGGTCAGAGCCTTGCAGCCAGGTCTCAGGTGGGTAACTGGCACTGTCTATGGTAGACAACACAATTTAAATTGAGAAGGCGGCTTGGGACAATGCCTAAACCTACAGGGCAGCAGAGGCCAATGGGACACTAAGCAGGCCTTCCTCAAGGAAGAACCCTTCTCAGGATATTATATTTCACATCCTGAAAACTTCCTTCTCTATCCTTACCGTGCCATCATCTGCCAAGCACAAAAACGTTTCTCTCATTTGCCCTCTCCTCTCTTTTCCCATGGTCCTGCCCTTCATTTGTCTTGCTCACGTGCTCCCTCTCTGAAACACACATACTCTTCTTAGTCTGAGAACAGCTCAGTAATGCTGACACAGAGCCCTTCCATACTCACTTGCTTGTGAGCAGTCTCATTACCATCCAGTCCCGAGGGAACACACTCATCTTCATCAGGTTCCGGAACACACAAAAAATCTTCAGCAGAAATTCCTGACAGCAGAGGAAAGCTGATGTGAGATACCACCACCACAATATGCATCTCCTCAATAGGCCACTCCTGGCCACTAGATCATCAGAATGGGTGGGACCAGTGAGTTAGGTATGGTTCTCTCTGTGAGTTGTTTCTTAGATGCCTACATGAGAGTGAGTTCTGGGTACTCTCACAGGCCAGATGGGAGCAGACCCAAACTGGGCAGAACAGAGGTAGCTCTATTCCCACAATGCCCAAAGCAGCTCTATACCCACTCTATACCCACAAAGCCCAAAGCATGGGACAGACTAAGGTCTAGCCAAACTGGTGTCCGACTGAATCCATAGGCTTCATTTTCTGGGGCATGGCCCCTGAGCGTTTGATTATAAGAACATGCTTTTTTGGATATTAAGAACACAATGATGGGAGAGGCATTTTAGGAATGGCAGATCTCTGAAAATCTGCTTGTCCATGAAAGCAATGGGGTGGCTAACACTGGTTAACCAAAGGCTTGTGACAATCCAAGAAATGTTTATTCAATGATAATGGATGAATAATAACAATGAGCTTTGTTGAATTTTTAACTTGCACTATTCCCATCCCCTCCTACCTCCACAGTAGCCTTAAAAACAAGCTGCTGTAGAATCATGAAAGTCATGAAACACCAGCAGCCTAGCAGCCATTAGAAGGGAGAGAATGGTTTTGGAACTCCTACAAAAAGTTCCGACCCACAGAATTGTTATTATTTGATCTGTTTGGCAGCTTCTTGGAAAACTCCATTCATAGGGCTTGTCTTAATTTAACCTGACTCAGAGCTCACTCAAGTGAGGAAAACTCTATACCCAAGGCATTTATTGGAGCAAAACAAAAAATAAAAAAACGTATAATTTAACATCCCAGCTGCATAAAGCAGCCATGTCATTTGAGGCAAACAAGAGAACGACTAAAAAAAAAATTATATAAGGAAAATCTGAGGAATGAAATATCTGTAGGGGGCCTTGAAAAGCTCTGACATATTCCTGGGAATCTAGAAGGCCACACATGTATACAGGGCTGTGCAAATTCCTAGAGAAGGCCTGAGAAGGTCTAATCTCTCACCAGTGCTGACCTTGAGGCTCTGGGTAAGCAGGAAGTGAAGGCTATGGCTGAACTGAAAAGTGCTGGAGCAATGACAGTGAGCCTCAACACATACATATAAAAACCCCCTTAAAAATGTGGAGAGTTATTGATTTAAGGCATTTAAGAATATCTCTGTTCAGTTATTAGCTGATCATTAACTAACTGCATGGAGACTTTAGTGACTGCATATAATTAAAAAATACAGATATTAAAGAATGGGTCCAAGAATGGTGGCTCACACCTGTAATCCCAGTGCTTTGGGAGGCTGAGGCAAGAGGATCACTTGAGGCCAGGAGTTTGAGACCAGTTTGGGAAACATAGCAAGATCCCTGTCTTCACAAAAAATTAAAAAATTAGCTGCATGTGGTGGTGCATGTCTGTAGTCCAAGCTACTCAGGATGTTGAGGTAGGAGGATTTCTCGAGCCCAGGCAAGGTTGTAGTGAGCTATGATCACATCAGTACGCTATGGCCTGAGCAATACAGCAAGACCCTGTCTAAAAAAACCCCAAAAAGCAATGAGTCCAATAATATTACTAAAAAAAGAAACAAGCATCATCAACAACATAAAACAATAAAAAGCAACAATAACAAACCCTGGGGATGTGGGGAAGGGATCTGATTTCCAGAGTTGCCAAATTATTTAAAATATCCAGTTTTCAACAAAATATCATAAGACATAAAAAAACAGGAAAGTATGGCCCATACACAGGCAAAAAGAAGTTAATAAAAACTTTTCCTGAGGTAGCTCAAATATTGGACTTGCTTGGAAAATACTTTAAACAAAGAACTGAAGGAAATCACACTTAAAGAATTAAAGGAAAGTGTAAGAACAATGACTCACCAAATAAGAGGATACCAACAAAAAGGGTAGAAATTACTTAAAGTACACCAAATATAAATTCTAGGACTGAAGAATACAATAACTGAAATGAAAAATTCACTAAAGGGGCTCAGCAGCGGATCTGAGCTAGCAGAAGGATTAGCAAATTTGAAGCCGAGTTAACTGAGATTACCTCAAGTAAGAAAAACAAAAAGAAAAAAGAATGAAGACAAATGAACAGAGCCTCAGATATCTGTGGGGCATCATTAAGGGTATAAACATACACATAGTGGTAGTGCCAGAAGGAAAAGAGAAAGAGAAATGGGAAGAAATAATGGGGAAAAACTTTCCAAAATTGATGAAAAAGTCTTCTCACACAGCCAAGAAGCTCAACAAACTCTACATGGGATAAAATCAAAGAGATTCACATACAGTCACATTAGAATCAAAAGTGTCAAAAGCCAAAAATAAAGAGAATCTTGAAAGCAACAAGAGAAAAACAACAAATAACCCTCAATAATATTAACAGGTGACACCATCAGATATAATGGAGGCCAGAAGGCAGACAGCAGAAATATTCAAAGTCTGAAATGAAAGACCATCAACAAAGAATCCTATAGCCAGTGAAACTACCATTCAAAACTAAAGAAACTGCAAAGCACAGTGGCTTATGTCTGTAATCCTAGCACTTTGAGAGGCTGAGACAGGAGGACTGCTTGAGCCCAGGAACTTGATACTAGCCTGAGCAACATAGCGAGACTCCATCTCTACAACAATAAATTAAAAAAAGAGAAAAAAAAACTAGCTGGTGGTGTGCACATGTAGTCCCAACGACTTGGGAGGCTGAGGTGGGAGAATCCCTTGAGCCTGGGAAGACTGAGGTGGCAGTGAGCTATGATTGTGCCACAGCACCCCAGCCTGTGTGACAGAGCAAGACCCTGTCTCAAAAAAAAAAAAAAAAAGAAGAAATCACGGTAGCCATCACTGCAGCTGCCTGCTGTCTAAGACAACTGAGCTCCTGAGGGGGAGGGGAGGCCGTCATCACTATGGCTGCCTGCTGCCTAAGACAAATGAGCTCCCCAGGAGAGGGGCAGCAGGCATCACTATGGCTGCCTGCTACCTTATAAGTACCACGTGGCTAACCGATTGTGCCACTGGAGCCACTGCCTGCTACCTAAGATGATTGACTCCCTAGGGGAGGGGCAGCAGCCATCACTGTAGCTCCAGTCTGCGGTTTTCCCCCTGCTGGTGCTGGGGAGACTGGATGTTTTGGACCCAAACTGCCAGACTGCCACTTTAGGTCGGACCCTGAACCATTCTTCTTCATTGGGTGGGGCCTCCCCGCAGGAATTTCAGCAACTCCAGCCAGGGGTTTAGGGACAGAACTTTGATCTCCCTGGGACTGAGGGGTGGCCATGGTCTCCGTGGATCAGCAGACTTAGTCTTTCCCCTGCTAGCTCTGAGGAATCCAGGCAGCCCAGACAAGTGGGATTCCCCCGCAGCACAGCACACCCCCTCTGCCAAGGGGCAGCCAGAGTGCTTCATTAGGTGGGTCCCAGATCCCATGCCCCCTGACTGGGTGAGACCCTCCAATAAGGGTTGCCAGACACCTTATACAGGAGCATTCCCACTGGCATCAGGTCAGTGCCTCTCAGGGACAGAGATCTCAGAGGAAGAAGCAGGCAGCTATCTTTGCTGTTCTGCAGTCTCCTCAGGTGACACCTCTGGGTGTGGGAGAGACCCAGGTGAATAGGGTCTGGAGTGAACCCTCAGCAAACCACAGCAGCCCTACAAAAAGGGGTCTGATTATTGAAACAAAAACAAACAGAAAGCAACAACAGCATCAACAAAAAAGTCCCCACAAAAACCCCACCCAAAGATCAGCAGCCTCAAAGACTGAAGCTAGACAAACTCATGAAGATGAGAAAGAATCAGTGAAAAAACACTGAAAACTCAAAAAGGCAGAGTGCCTCTTCTCCAAATGATTGCAATACCTGGGCAGAGGCTGAGATGAATGATTTGACAGAAGTAGGCTTCAGAAGGTGGGTAATAACAAACTTCACTGAGCTAAAACAGCATGTTCTAACTCAATGCAAAGAAGCTAAAAACCATGATAAAACATTACAGGAGCTGTTAACCAGGATAGCCAGTTTAGAGAGGAACATAAATTACCTCATGGAGCTGAAAATACAACATGAGAACTTCATAGTGTAAACACAAGTATCAATAACTGAATAGACCAAGCAGAGAAAAGAATTTCAGAGCTTGAAGACTATCTTGCTGAAATAAGGCAGACAAGATTAGAGAAAAAAAAAATGAAAAGGAATAAACAAAACCTACAAGAATATGTAAAAAGACTGAACCTATGACTGATGGGGGTACCTGAAAGAGACAGGGAGGACAGAACCAAGTTGAAAAACATACTTCAGGGTATCACCCAGGAGAACTTCCCCAGCCTAACAAGACAGGCCAACATTCAAATTCAGGAAATCCAGAGAACCTCAATAAGATACTCCACGAGAAGATCAACCCCAAGACACATCATCATCAGATTCTCCAAGGCCGAAATGAAGGAAAAAATGTTAAGGGCAGCCAGAGAGAAAGGCCAGGTTACCTACAAAGGGAACCCCATCAGACTAACAGCAGACCTTTCAGCAGAAACCCTATAAGCCGGAAGAGATTGGGGGCCAATATTCAACATTCTTAAAGAAAAGAATTTTCAGCCCAGAGTTTCGTATCTGGCCAAACTAAGCTTTGTAAGTGAAGGAGAAATAAAATCATTTTCAGACAACCAAATGAGGAGGGAATTTGTCACCACCAGGCTTGCCTTGCAAGAACTCCTGAATGAAGCACTAAATATGGAAGGAAAACCATTACTAGTCACTGCAAAAAAAAGTACAAAGGCCAATGACACTATGAAGCAACTACATCAACAAGTGTGCAAAATAATCAGCTAGCATCATGATAACAGAATCAAATTCACACATAACAATATTAACCTTAAATGTAAATGGACTAAATGCTCCAATTAAAAGACACAGACTGGCAAACTGTATAAAGAGTCAAGACCCATTGGTGTG